GGAAGTATGTTGAGGAAGGTCTTGTTGAAAGTACGTGGAAGGAGTAAATGTTCCCACTCTTAAGTCTTGGAACTGACTGAGGAGTTTGTGAGGAGTACTGCAAAGTGCAACTTGAGGTAGTTCTCAGGCTTTTTGCATGAAGATAAATGTGAGTATCCCTGCCCTTGCAGCAGGATGGATCTGAGTAGTGCTGATGCCTGTTCTTGGGATGTAGCTATCTGGGAATAGGTTGTCTCAGTACCTTGGAGGTGGCTGTCCTGAGGACTGGCAAAGGATCTTTGAACTTGACACCGCAAAGCTCATGTTGGCGTTATCTTGTGTAACGCCCACACTTGCGGTAGGCTTTTCTGTCCAGCAATAGTCCATCCACCTCAAAAGAGCTTTCTGAGGCCTTATGGGGAAGCTGGGAAGGTGAGCAGGGTAGGTGATCACAGGGTGTCTGAATTGTAAACCTGGCTAAAACAGGACAAACCTAGTAGGTAATACGAATATCACCTGCATCGTCTTCAGGTTATCTTTGTGTGACCTTGCGGGGTCAGAGCGCTGCAAAGACCAGAAAAGTGGGGACCGAATGAAAGAAGCAAACAACATCAATACCTCCCTCCACACGCTGGGTCGCTGCATTGCTGCCCTCCGCCAGAACCAGCAGTCCAAGTGAGTATCCAGAACTCCAAAGGGAGACTGTGGGTAGGCTGTTTTGCTTTCCTATGGGCTCACTCTTGTCTCTCCCCATAGATTGAAGCAGACTGTGGTTCCCTTCCGGGACAGCAAGCTAACCCGTGTGTTCCAGGGTTTTTTCACTGGACGTGGGCGCTCTTGCATGATTGTCAACATTAACCAGTGTGCATCTACATATGATGAAACTCTTTACGTAGCCAAGTTCTCAGCCATTGCCAGCCAGGTAAACGGCACACACCAGTATCATGGCATGGTCAGGATACATCCTGCTTGTCTGGGAATGGGCCCCTTTCCATCACAAGGCAGAGGGAATGCTTGCAAGCCTTCCCTGTGCTGCTTTGTGGATTATTACCTTTACAGTATTTCCAGATTCTGCTAAACTGAGAGGGTTGACAGGTTGTAGAGAAGTGCCATGTTTAAAGACTACACAACTTCCAGGCTTTGTGGACTAATAATGATGGCCTTTTCCCCTTCAGCTTGTTCAGGCGCCTCCCACAAAGCTGGGACTTCCGTCCATACAATCAATCATCAAAGAGCACAACAGGCGAACCAGCCAGGGTCCAGAGGCAGCATCAAAGGAAGAAGTGGAATCTGAAGATGACAGTGAGGATGAAGCAGATGTCTCCATGTATGAGAAGGAGGTGGGCTGTGATTTGTTTTACAGCCTTTATGGATAGAGTGGCAAGAACATGACTGTCAGCTTTGGCCTGGGAGGTAGGGTTGGAGCTCAGTGCTATACCAAGAGATGACGTAGATCCTCAGAAGGATATGGGAATTGGAAATCCATGAGGAAAACATTCCACAGTTGGTCTAAATCTGAAGCACATGCTTAATTTGGAAACAGTTTGTCATCTGTGGAATAGGGACAGTAAGAGCTTGGGTGCAGAGCTATAGTCCCTACTCTGCAAGGGAAACGAGATGAGAAAACATGCAAAATAGATGGCTAAATTGAGGAAAAATAATCAAACTTCCTAGATACTCAAAGCAGGCAAATGGAATAGCTGAAAGATCAAGATGGAAGTCATATACTTACAGAGACTTGAGTTGTAATGTATCAAGGTAGCAAATGCAGACAGCTCTGGGCACTGCAGTAGGGGAAGCTGCTCTGGAGATAGCTCCATCTGGAGCACAGTGGTGTTTAAGCCATCTCATGGGAGAAGAATTAAGAGCAAACCTGGCAACTTCACTTTACAAGTGACTATATAAGAATCGTAAACCTAGATCATCCCAGCCTACAGACAGGGGATCGCTAGTTTATTCCAGGTCTTTAATTCTGTTGTGCAGCGTGGGCAACAGAGTTTGTGTCCTTCTTGCAGGACTTGTTGCGTGTAGTGGAAGCTGCGCGAGAACTGCTGGCGCAAGAGCGGCAGGAGAAGCTGCAACTAGAAATGCGCCTCCGTGAGGAGATCTGCAATGAGATGCTGGAGCACATGCAACAGAAGGAGCAATGGTGCAGGTACAGCTTATGCTCATCTCCCTCCCTTTGTTCAGGGTGAGCTACAGTACCAAGAACTGCCAGACCCTGACATGTAGTTGTTTGCTCTGCTCTCTTTGTAGCCAACATGTGGATGCTCAGAAGGAGCTGCTGGAGGAACTGTATGAGGGTAAACTGAGTAACCTGAAGGAATCACTGACTGACTATTACCAGGAGGAGATCCAGGTTTGTTCAGGGCAATGAGTAACACCAGGAAAGTGGCAGTGGGTTGGGAGGAGATTTGGGGTACTTGAGTCCAGGAAGGTGACTTATGCAAACTGAAAGGAAAGATTTTTGCTTTTTCTGGTATTTTTGTGATGTTATTTGATAGCTTGATCCACAATTTTCAATTCTTGTCTGCTGCTTTATGTAGTTCACTAGGCTTTCTAATTTTCAGCCCTTAATGTGGAAGCTAATGTGCAACCATTCAGACTCCTCTATTTGTTCAGTATGATTCTCTCCCCCTTTACTCCTTTTGCTAGTGGCTTGCTTTGCACCTTTGCACTCTTCAGATTAACACAAGTTCTGTGGATTTCTCTTATCAATCTTGGTTGTGATGATGGGTATAGGCCTGTCTATCTTCCATGCTATGGCATCTGAGTGGCCTCTGGGACTTGTTGCAGACCTCTCTGAAGACACCAACTCTCAAAATCCCTTGCCTTTAGAGGTTGTAAAAAAGTGGCTTAGGCTCCACAGGAAACAGGCTCACTGTTGTCACTCAAAGGACATTAAAGGCTGAGTCCAATGTGTGAAGTGTGTGATTAAGAAAGTCTCCCAGAAGACATACATTGAAAGTTTCAGAAAAGCTATCTTAAGAATATCTTGTTGAATACTCAAACTTGCTTTCTAAGGAGCGTGATGAGAAGATTGAGGAGCTCCAAGCTGCTCTGCAGGAGACAAAGCAAAAATTGGAGAGCCTGGATACTAAACAAAAGGACTTGGGGCAAGGCTTGCGTCGATCAAAGCGAGTGGCTACCTCATGTGCTCTGCAACAGGAGCTGGTAGATACTAAAGCCAAACTGGAGCAATGTCAAATGGAGTTAAATACTGCAACAGCAGGTAAGGCGGTGGTACTGCACTGGCTCTGAACTATGCCCAAGCAATCCTTGCAGATGGTTAAGAGAGACTTTTTTCAGTAGGGTACATTGGATTTGGACATCCTGAAACCACTATTTTGAGTTGCAGAAGATAAGAATATTGTGCTGGATGGGCATGGTTTCACTTCATTTTCACATGATGATGGGCTTTAGGGGGCAGGATCATCTTCCTGATCAACTTCTAAAGTCCCTTTGTGTAACTGAAAGGGAGAAGCCTGGAATGTTTGTGTATGTCTGCATAAACCCAAAGCTCTTCTCAGCTTGCCTGTGGCAGCTTGTCTCAAGGGAAGTCCTTGACTTCAGAAAAACTGAAAGCTTATGAATGTACTGTTGCTCACTACTTTTTGTCTGTTCCTAGAGTTGCGCAAGTACCAGAAATTACTGGAGCCACCTCCCTCTGCCAAACCCATTACTGTGGATGTAGACAGGAAGCTGGAGGATGGACAGAAGGTAACTCCATCTCTGTGTTGCAGAAAGGAACACTTGCAGGGCAAAGTGGTTGCCAGTTTAAACAGTGTTTGGAGCTGCTGTTTCCATGTTTTTTAACAAATGGTTGAAGTGGAAATGGGCCTGTTGAAAACAAACCTTTACTAGAGATGTGGAAGGTGTTGGTATCTGTGATGCCAGTGTACCTCATCAAGAGGGGATGCTCCTTCAGTACTGCATGTCTGAATTACTCTGGAGTGGCTTTGCTTGCAGAGCAATGTCAAAGCTAGTTGTTCTATTAAACATCTCTCCTGTAGAATGTCAGACTGCTGCGTTCAGAATTACAAAGGCTTGGGGAGTCTCTTCAGTCTGCAGAGAGGGCATGCTGCCACAGTACAAGTGCAGGGAAACTTCGAGAAGCCCTCTGTACGTGTGATGACATTCTGGCTAGACAGGTAATGCGTCTTTTGTTGTGGGTTGCACAGGGGGATTTAGTGTATGCACTTTGTCATAATCAGCCTAGGTTCTTGCAGCTGCAAATAAAAATGACTTATTCTCTAGACACATACTGTACTACGTTAAGGGAGCTATAGTGTTAATTTTTTCAATGGCTGAGTCAGACTGCACCTGTAACTCTCCAAAGGAGACCCACATTGTTCCTGTTCAGTTAAGTGACAGCCTGCACTTATAGTAGGAGAATTCAGAGTTCTCATTTCCTTATGCACTTCACTCTTCTCACAGTTGCTATGGCAGCATGTCTGCAGCAGGATGGATTCAGCTTTTTCCTAGCCTTACTGTTCCCATTTTGTTATTGAACTGCTGCATTGTTGACAGGAGAAGCTTTTATGCGTGGCCTTATTTAGCACACCAGTTAGTAAATTTTGGCAAAGGCAGCTTATCCACTTAGTTCATAGTAGCCAGGGAGTTAGGCAACTTGTCACATCTCTTAAAATATTGCCTTCCCTTTCTCAGGACCAAACACTGGCAGAACTGCAGAACAACATGATGCTGGTAAAACTAGACCTGCGGAAGAAAGCAGCTTGTATTGCTGAACAGTACCACACTGTGCAGAAGCTCCAGGCTCCTCCAACATCTACCTTAAAGAAACGGTTCTGTGCCAACAGGGAAAACCTACAACCTAATCAACCTCCTGGTAAAAAGCCCTTCCTGCACAACCTTCTGTCACGTTCAGCTACCCGTCCTGTTGCTGGCAGAGGGTGGCAACTTCGTTCAGTTGCTCTATGACTTTTCACCAAGCAATCCCTGCCCCGCTATTACTGGAACAGGTGGCAAATCCAATATAATAGTATCAGTTTTTCTTTGTGTGCTTGTTTATTGTTATTGTAGCTGCTTGAGAGCTTATGTAAACACTTTTTGATATGTATGGTTAAACTTTTAATTGATACCAAAGTGGACAGAATGACCTTTTGTAATTTAAACACTACAATGAGGAAAGTCTTTAAATATAAAATAATGTGGATGATCAAAGTTGTTTAACAAAAGGACAAGTTAAAAGGCATTTTCATCTTCAAATACGTTGGCACACAATTCAAAAATAAGTTCACAAGATCCTCCTGGAAACATTTTCCCTTCCTTGAATTATAATCCTTTATTAAAGTATACACGTTCTAGTTCAGGGCTGCTCTCTTGAATCTTGGCTTGCAATTCTGGCTCCAAGCGTGTTACAGACATAGAACTAAGTAAAAGAAACAGTAAAATGGTTATATATAACAAGCACTTGAATGTAAAATAAGATGGATGATGCATCTAGTTAAACTTACTGGAAAAGACTTTTAAGATTATTTTTTTTTTAACTTCTTATGAAGGACCCATGTTCATGTACCATGGGCAAATGAATCCCTGCTTAAAAGGCAGTAAGATAGTAGCAACAGCCAGTTTTTGACTCTATAGACTACCGTGAAGGTAGGAATCTACTTAGTTGCTTGAGGTTGTTGCTGGCACTAGAAACTTACCTTCTTAAAAGTGTTTTTATTAAATATAATGTATTTGCCTATTTGTAACTTACTGCCTGATTTTATTCAGCTGAATAAATTGTTTATTTTGAGAGTCATCTCATAGTAAAGTGAATTAAGCTGCCAGGTCATTTAAACAGCTGCAATTTCTTAAATACAGTTTAAGGTCTAATCTTCCTATGAAATGGTGAGCCCTGGTTAAAATCAGGAACAGTTTGCCATGCTAGTCAGCTCATCTCCAGGTAGCCTAGTGACACTTATTTACCACAATTCTATATTCTATGCCAGACAGGGGAAACGGATGGTGTCAGATTGCTTTGTTGTACTCAAACAATTGCATCTGATAAGAATTAGGTATTGTTTTCTGGCAGTCAAAAGCTACTTTAGTTGCTCAATTATGTTAACAGATTCAGCTCCAGCTTGCATTGTTTAAGCTACATGTGGCAGCTTGTCAAGTTTACACAACCACTAATAATGAGAGAGGGACAGCTTAGCTGAATTTAAGACCTTGTTCATAATACATACTGCAAATTGAGCTAACTTTATTTCTGTGTAACTCATCCAGGTTTCATTATGATTTCAGCGATAATCAATGTTGTTTCTAAGTTTTCAGAATTTTTCATCAACACGGTACTTTCTGGAAAAACATTAATCAAATTACAATTACTCAAATTAAGTATGTATATAGTCAAGTGCTGTTCTGTATAACCAGAGGAGTTTCCAGCCAAAGATAAAATGGGCTCTGACTGTATTTAATGAAGCCATAACCTTACTGGACATCAATATGTTGTTTGGAACACATTAGCCTTTTTTTAATGAATCATCCCAGTGATTCTTAACTCTGTACTATCAAGATCAAACTTCTCAAACCAAGCTTGAAATAGCATGGTTAAGCTACTCACCCAAACCTCTCATGCACTGTCCCTATGTAGCTGCATCTCAAGCTGCTAGGAGTTTGTAAATAAATGAGCCCAATTCAACTATTATATTTTACTGATGAGTAACATAGTTATTACTTTTCTGAATATTCTCATGTTTATCACACTTGTTATATGGGAATTAAGACTGTATGCTCTAGGAGGCAATGACCACTTGTTTCTGTCTTTTTGCAGTGCCTTGCATGCATCTGGGAGGGTAAGAATAATGTAATAATACATACCTTTTTTGAGGAAACAGTGCACAACACAGGGGTGTTGCAAACACAAGACTAGAGGAGAAAAAAGGGGTTAATATTTAGGGTGCTAAAAGAGAATTCAAAACCCTTGGGCATGGTCTTCTAGGCAGAAAGCTTTTTTTGTATACAGTGAGGTAAAGTTCCATGAAGTGCTATGTAACCTGTATTTCTCACTGCATTATACCTTATGAAATCATTTATGTACTATGTAGTACTAAATACATGAATACCATGCTTACAAGATGTGTATAAAGTTATCATTTGATGTCCTTTCAGTGTTTTGCATTGGTGTGCATGACAACCTAAAATGCTAGACAACAGCAAACGAAACTCTCCATTAACCAAATGTTTCAAGAATTCATCAACCTATAGGATTAGATTCCAGTTTGTTGGTGGAGGTAGCCGCCAAAGCATCTTTTTCTAATCAAGCTGCTATGTGCCTCTTTGCCACTCCCTTTCTTTCTCCCTCCCTCTGCTTTTCTTGGCAGCTTCTTCATTACTAACAGCTCTCAGTTAATATGGTATTATCAGTTACAGATACGGAAGTGAACTGCTATAGCCTCATTAACTCTCCCAACATTTTTTCTTTAAACAAAGTGCAACTATTGCTACTTCCTCCAAAAAACCTACAACTATTTCTTAGAAGAGCAGACACAACCCAAAGAAATCACTTACCAGAATCCAACTAATCCAACTTGAATGGGAGCACTCATCCAAGGAAACCTCTGTTAAAAATAAACCGTGTACAGTCAGTACGGTATCTTTTCTCCCCTGCTTCCCACCTTCCTAGAATTCTTGTATTGTAACACTATGAAGGCAAAACAATTACCAACATACCTTAAAGCTGAGCTCCACTCCCTTTGGAAAGTAATAAGGAAATTCCCAGTGATATCAATGTATGCTGTTACCCTGAATAAGTGTCCTTTAGAAATTACTGGTGGTCAACTGTTTTACTTAAGACCCGATCCTGAGTACACGGGCCATTTCTTTGAGTCACACAAGCCCACAGTGGCCAGCAACACAGCCAAAGTTTGGAGTGGTGTTGCCACACGTCCTAAGCGCAGAGTGAATTTTGCATGGGCACCCCTAGGAAGAGCTAAGTCTGGTTACAGCTCCTATCTCTTCAGTGACAACAAATGGTTTTAACTTAGAACTGGAGATTTACTTTATGAGCAACAGCAACTGCAGCCACCAACCATAAATAAGGGAGGTGTGAAAGAAAAAATGTAAGTCTGCCTCTCTTAGCCCTTTCTCCTGTCTTATAATTTGCTTTGATGTGTAGGAACTTGCCCTTGTAGCACACTCTGGTACACTCTAGGTTCTTTTATTAAAGGAAAAAAGGTAGAAGAATTGGGGAAACAAGGCTGAGAAAGCAACACATAACCTATGGATGCATTTTTAGCATATTCCTCATTACTGTAACTTTTGCAGAACTTGAACATATGCCAAGAAATTTGATAGTTTTCTTGTAGGCCTTTAAATGGTCCACTCCCCCCCATGTTAGAATTTTAGTTGAAATTAATTACTAATGAAATAAAACCAGACCTGTTTAAATGACACTGCTGCAATAGCCTTCTGGTGCTATAATAAAACCAGTGTCTCCTGTAAGCAGGACATACACAACTGCTATGGTAACAGGAAGTTGATTTTAAAACAAAACAGTTAATGAGTTAAAAATCACACGTTACAGTGGATGACGTTTTCAACAAAGATGATGTTTTTTTCTGCAAGAAGCATTTCTCAAGATGTAGAAGTTAGAAGGGAAACTGCTGAACAAAAGATGGGCACTATCTTTGAGAGTAGAAACAGAAAAAAGAAATTTAGAAAGCTCAACGGGACAAAGCTTGGTGCTAAGGAAGGTCACAGCAGTATAAAAGTCATGGAAAACAAGCCTGTGTGGATTAAACTTTCTCCAGAGCCTGAAGAAGAAGAAATGATGTAGAAGATTGCTTCTTTTTTTCTTTTTTTCCTGGAAACAATCTGTAATCCAGAAATGAGTGCAGGAAGAACTCTGCAATTCAGCAATAACCTGCAACAATAGATAACAAATGGAAAAAGACAGCAAGAAGGGATAAAGAGTGAATGCAGCAGTGCTGTGCTGTTCTGGCATTCCACTAAACACACCTTCATTTGACTCTCAGCTGATGTAATTTCACTCAAAATGCTTTACATTTTACACAGTGGGAGAGTTCATGACAAGGGATGGTGTGACTGAGAGTGGAAGGGATGTAGGACTGTGGCATTGGTAAATATTGCATGTATTTGGGAACACAAACTGTACTGCAAAGTCAGTCTCTGATGGGAATTAAGGGAGAAGGATGCTACGCATTGCAGTGTGAGCATGGGACCTGAGCTACATAACAGAAAAGCTCCAAATATGATTTTATAACTGAAAATACTGTTGGAGGGTGTCATGAGAGTAATAGATGGTTCCATACCTTTATCAGAGTTGGCCATTAGTCTGGGAGAGAGAGGTGTCTACTACTACAGACAATATAAGCAACATCTATTTCACATGGTGGAACATTTTTTGCCAAGGTACTCGATCTGAGTTACAGCCTTTATTTTTCAAGAACGTTACCAGGCTGCACTAATCAAGGAAGAGGGTGAGGTGAAACTCTAATTCTGGGAGGTCAATATTAAGAACTGGAGTTGCCCAGGAAACAATGTAAAACAACAAAGCAAAACTCAAATGCAGGCTGTATATCCCTACAAAGAGATAAAATAGAGACGTACAAGACAGCAGAAGAATTTACTGTGTTAGAAAACTATCATTTAAGTCTGAAGAAGGCAGTTCCCAATGAATTAGGATTTAATTTCCATATGTCTTTATGGCATCTTTAGTGGTTAGTGCAAAAAGAAAAAAATGGGGAAAGGATAATTAAGCAAACAAAAGCCATAAGGAGAATCATCTTTTTTCTAACTGTTTCACTTCATTGTTGGATCTCAAAAATCTGTCAGCTTTCCCAGGCTAGCTATGTCTGTTTAAAAAAAAAAAAAAAAAAAAAAAAAGAAAGTTACATTAGGAATGCATGGAGGACTCTAGGGCATAAGACATTCAAGATGATGCTTTAAAAAAAAAAGGCGCTCTCTTCTAATTTTGTAAGAGTTTTGAATACATATTTAGTTGCAGACTAAGAGACCTCAAGGAGCTTGTTTTAAGCATGTGAGAGGAAATTCTGGATTCAATTTGAATGTTAATACAGTATGCAAAACAGGATACAAACTAGCTAAAGCTGTAAAAGTAGTAATATAAATTAAAACTTCAGTGTTAATTGGAATTTTCAGAAGTTTATATGAAAAAAAAAATTTCTTTCCTTAGGAGAAAGGTTACCTGTAACTAAAATAAATCTATAAACGCTGTGCCTCAGAGCAAGGTTGTTTATGGATCCTCCTGCTGCAGCAGATAAAATAACTTGATTCTGCACAGAGCTAGTCAAGTGTATGTCAGTAGGGATAGTGAACAGACACATTACACAGCCTAATCAAGAACTACTGCACTGCGTAATTGCATAAAAGACAGCCAAAGCCACTATTGAAACCTACAGCAAAAATACATATATATTAAAATTTTTTTTTTTTCCAAGTCAAGAAATAATTAGATTCTTTTTTTAAGCAGTAAGTATGTGCTTGTGTTCCAAAAACATTCTTGAGTCATTTTCTAGCAATAACTTTGGGGAATATTATTAATTCATACTAATGTTACCATCAGAATGTCCTCATGCAAAACATCACAATATGGGGGATGAAGAGTGCTACATAACCTACAGCCTATTTCAGATATCAGGGGATGATAGCCTGCTGTCACCGAGATCAGCATTCCAGAAGCATTTCTTTATCTTACTGCAGAACACCATTCTATTTTCTTCATTATTTCACAACCATTTGACTATTTTCTGGCCTTGTGTGTTGCTTAATAGGCTTTGGCAAGCATACAAAAATTATTTTCAAGAGTGATGGCATACAAAGAAAAGGCTAAGGAAAATGAGTTAGTAAAGCATTGTGTGGATGGTGTTGGAGTACTGCAAATGGGATGGTGTTTCTGAAACCTCAAGTGAACATGCAGAAGCTGCTTGTTAAAAAAGCAGCTCATTCCTTAATGGTTTTAATACTAATCTCTACGATGTGTTATCACTGACTACCTGCAGAGTAGTGTTTCACCTGAACTCACAGTCTTTGAGGCTGAGGGGGAGGAACAGGTGAGCATAAACGGTCATGATGGTACCAAAGACCACTGAGTAGTCACTGAAGAAATCGCTCATTTTTGCTGATCTGAAAAATTCACAACACCCTTATATTGATTATACCACACAAAACCAACAGATACTTGTCTCCAAACCCTGAGAATTGTTGCAACTTCTTCACAAATGTCATGTATTTGCCAGCTGAGTTGGTAGCATGTGACATTTCTCCCACACCAAATACATATAAAATAATCTTTGCTCTGAATCTGTTATTTTTATTTTTTTAAGCAAGGGTTAGGGTTCTGGGTAATACATTCTCAAGAACATCACAGTATCACAAGCTGCTTAAAGCTACTCTGCAAACAGGGTATGGGCCAAAAGAAATCAACAATTAAGAATTAGCCAAATCAGTATAGGGTGCTTTATACTGCAGACAAATAGTGCATTTGGATGCACTGCAGTCTCACTTCTTTCAGGACATATAAGCAGCACACGCTGACTTTCACTCTAAAATGCAAACACCACATTTCCTGCTTTTACATTCTGAGCAATAATGTTTTCTGTTAACAAGGAGTGGAAAAAAGCAAAGCACTTCAGGAAAAAGAAGTTTTTAAAATTGGAAGACACTTGGGACCTCTTTCCAACGCCTCATATTTACAGAAGCACTTTCAAATGCTGTACGTAACTGGGTAATCTAGCTCTACACAAGAAAAATGAAGGGCAGAAATAATAAGAAATATAATTTAAATATTTTAGAAAGCTTTGTCTAAGACAAACAAAACCAGGCAACTTCCCCTGCTCGTCCCACCCAAACCACTTTTCCAAGGGAGGGTCTGGAAGCTCAGACCACACTTTCTTTTCCTAACTTCTTCTAACAGGAAGGAAACTAGAGTTCTCAGCTTGCTGGGTGGGTTTCACAGGCAGAGACTTTGCCTGTAGCTACGCAAGTAAGTGAATCAGTTATATCAGCTGGTGAAGATGAAACTCCCCTTGGTGGTAAAGAACTATAGAGTTCCTCATCTGAATATTATTTTTCTTATGTTAGACAACCCTATAATTAATTTAATTATTGTTCTTTACCTGCTCATGCACACACAGTGCATAATGTTGATTTAATTTATATATTTTTTTAACACCAGGCGTTTGACTTCACATTACATTAGCATAAACGGAAAATAGGAAATATGTAATCTTTGATGAAGCATGCCCATTCTATGCCTACACTGCACTTGCTCATCCAGTAAATTTTAAAGGGCCATTTTCAAAAGAGATTTGTATTATCATTGCTGTTTTTAAAGTCAAATTGCTACTACAGCAGCTAAACAAAGCCTCCTTATTGATATCCAGAGAAAAAAGCATTATGAACTTAAATATTTTTCTAATAAATTTTATTCCAAGACTTGGTACAAGGAAGGTTTATTTACTAGGAGGGACTCTGCATCTTAAGAACACTTAAAAAATAACAAAAAAGTTTATATTTTCTTAATGTTATTTTACACTGTGATAAAAAGAATCAAGCTATATCTAAGACAGACATAAGAAAGCGACAGCTGTAAAGCGAGCTCTACAGTGATGCCCTCCCAGATTGGAGGCACATTTGGGAGGCAAATATGAAGTATTTTAAATTCATGAAAATACTAACTTAGGATATGAAATACATGTATGTAGGTTATCTAAGACTAACCTTTAAAAAGGCTCTCTTTTCCAATGTATTCATTATGAAGGGAGGAATCGCTGCAAATGAGGGGAAAAAAAAAAGCATTAACCTTGGAGAAAAGAGGCACTTGGTTTTCATTTTCTGTTAAGATGAACTGATACCATAAAAGAATTTCACAGCCCTTTGTCGTTAACTGAGCTTTTGTTTCACATTCCCAATTCAAGACATCAGATTGGTATCTACAGAGGTAAATTCTCCCAATAAGCAAAACTTCTAATTTCACACATAACTAAAGCTGAGCTCAGTAACTTGGCACTGGACAAAGCACCTACTCTTCACTAAACTAATTCCACTCAAGCAGAATTTGCTAGCATTCCTTTGCTATCTGTACCTTTTCTGCAAAAGCATCCCTGGAGCTTTTCTGCTGCACTTCAGTGTAACACACTGTGAATGTTTTCCCAGTAAGAAATGTAAATTTCTTTGCAGAACTTCTTAACAGAAATGTAAATACTGCCTACCTAACGGTAAGATAATCTGCCTTTTGAGAAAAATCACTTATGTAGACTTTAAGCTCTCTCTCACATTAGGAACTGATAATCAGGAGCTGCACACAATTTCAGTTATTCTTACCCATGCCAGGAGCAGCCATAAGAATCCTTGATATAACCACCTGGGTAATTGCCTGCTGAGCTGCTTTTGTTGATTCACCCAGCCTGTTTCCGTTCTCATCTGTGACGGGGATTCCAAACTTGAGTTCCCTGTTGATCAAGTAAGGGGTAAAAAATACAGCAGTGACTGACATGCACCTATTCACTTTTTTGTCACCTCATCTGTGTTCCCTTGTCTTAAAATTGTCCATCATAAGAATTATGGCTTTTATTTTACTTTCAAAGTAAGCCTGTTTGTAACACTCTTAGGCACAACAATTTCAAAAGGCCGTGAAAGATCTGGGGAAAAATATGCTGAAAAGTAAACTGGGTATTTGTAACAGCAACCTGCTGGTTAAGCCTTGTCACATGCATTCCAAGGACAAAGAAAGGAGATGTGTTATTTCTGTAGTCCACAGAAGGGAGAAGTTTCTTCAAAAAGCAATTGAGGAAAGTGGAATTTTCTGGACTGCTCTGAAAGTATTCTGCCCTTTTCCAACAGACAACACAGGGAATGCAGGAATATTAGTTTCACTGAACCAAAACAGAAGTCTTTGTGAAAATTCCTCTCTGGCATTATAGTCCAAGTTTTCATTTCAACCACTAAGGACATATTTGAAAAGATGCACAAAACAAACTACATTTCTATAACTGTTATCCTCTATTAGATCTTTTGCTCAAGTGCAGGGTTAGGTGTTAAACATACTGGGGAGAACTTCTAGGGCACTGAGAAGCAGACAGAAGGGCAGATATACTGAGGACTGCCTTTATTCTTCTCTTTACCTTTTGTAAGATATAAAATATTACCATATTACCAATTGTAAATACAAACCTTAAATATTCCTTTTTCTGCCCATAACCTTGTGTTTATGAGAGGATGCTTTTAATTTGGTTTTCCCCACTTCTATTCTTAATCTTAATCAAATCAGAATACATATGAAATTTTGTTTCTGAGAAAGTGCATATTTTTGTAATCTCAAATGATAAAACAGAACTGCAGAGCCTAACTTCTATGACTAACTTCTGCATGTGGGATTTGAAACACCATTTGGAAATTATTGTATTATTCCAAAGTGGGAGTTTGAATTTAAAGGGTCCATGTGATCAAGTTTTGAAGGAGTGGTACTTGGTTTCTGAGATCTAAGACTGAAGAACTCTGTGGATATTTATCTGAAGAGAATGAGAATGTTCTATTTTATAACTGTCACAATTAATCAATCAAAACAAGATCATGCATGAGGTTTTTGCAAGGTTCTGAAACAAGCTAAAGATATAAAATGTGCTTTATTCAGTAACTTGTTGATCTAAAAACTCAATAACATCCTTTCCTTTTAGAATAAGTGATCTTTGTTCTTTTTCCTACCTTTGTCTCATCAGTGGAATATTAATGCAGTTAGCAGCAGCAACAGCAGCGAAAGGAACAAACCGTCCTATAAGAGGTGAGACATGCTGTAAAAAACAGAGGGGAAAAAAAAAATACATAACCATTTTCTTTCCCAAAGGTCATACTGAAATCAGTCACATGTGTTACTGATAGACCAGACTTATTTCCTTTAAATTAAAATTCAGTGAAAACTCACAGGTGGGGCAGAGGTAAAACAATAAACAAACAAGACATAAGTCATAAATACTTCTCTCAGAGTGAGCAGTGGCAGGAGACTGGCAAAAACAATCTTAATTTAGTAGCATCAGTACAGAGAAGTGTCAGCTTCTGAGCATGCCCGTCAGCCCAACGGCAACACTAAATAGATTGTAACTTTACTGTCTCTGCTGGCAAGGTCACAGCCAGCAGCATCCATACCAGCTGCCTTGCGTCTAAGGGCACTGACTATGGAGGCTATTCAACTAGTCAGTGTCTTGTATAATCTGAATTACTTTGCTTAGAATAGTCTCTCAAATAATTTGTCAATGCTATACCACTCCCAGTACATTAAAGAATAAGCAGAGGGGTACAAAATAGATTTTTGCTGTGGGGTGTTTTTTTTTTTTGTTGTTGTAAAGGACCTTTTTTTCTTGATTGTGTTGAGCACTTGTTTAAACAATTTGAGTTTTCTGCATTTACGAGCAGCACCTCCTTACAAGTTCTTCAGCCAGTCTAGAGTAGGTGCCCATGTTTGCAGAAGCAATACTACACCTTGAAAACGTACCTATACAGTTTATGGGACAATGAGTCCACATTGTTGTAATTACGCATCCACTCCAATTAACTTTCAAATGCTATTGGATACCTTGACATGTGAAAAAGAAACTGCAAAACAGGCATCTTATTAGATAGTTTGTATTATAAAACCCACAAGACTGACAGACATATAAGGAGGATAGACTGTTTGAAATACATATAAAACCATCTACATGGGGCAAAAATAAGGTTGGGATCTAAAGAAGGGAGCTGCCAATGGCCATTACAACTCCATCCTGGGAGCTGTGCATAACGTGACACAGATACACAGGAGGAGAAACGAGCCTTTAGCTTCTCATAAAACACCAAAGTCTAGTTAAGAATGGAGAAAAAAAAAAATAGCAGCAATACCTTTGTTAGTGCATTAAGTCCTAAAGCCGTTGCGACAGCACCTGTGGTAGCAGAAACATAGGCTGCTCCCAGCTGGCTAAAACAAAAATAAAAGCGTTTCCACAGGCACAACAACTACATTTATGTCACTTTTAAAAAGAATTATGTTTTACACATGTAGTTACGCCCCACCAAAAGTTAAGAAGTAGACCTTTCTGGGACACTGCAATAAGATGTAGATGGAAGATTCAAATGGGACACTAAATGAAACACTTTTCTTTCATTAGCAGTAAAAATCACATGCAAGCAACATTTTAACATTGGATCAGGTTCTGCTGGTTCTGCATTGCTATCTGTTCAGCATTTTCTCGTGTATGAATGAACCCCTTGAAGGATTTAGTTCTGTATTTAATTTCCCAATTGCTTAAACTAATAAAATCAGTTTGGACTTATAAGGTCATGTCTACAATAGTAATTAAAATCAACTGTATCGAAACCCACACATGCAGACCAGCTATGCTGCAAACACCCAAATCCAACCCAATCTGCCCTAAAACATACTTCACATACTTCCCAGCTAGGAGGTGTCTGTATATCCTTGAATCCAGCGCTTTCTCCTGGACATATATAAGCAAGTCAGCCTCAAAACCAGGAAGTCAAGCACTGCGATTCCAGTCTCCTACTCATGGTTTCTAGCTTTCTGCATCTATTTAGTCTCTTTCTTTGCCTTCAAGTAGAAACAAGCACTGTGCAGACCAGTTTGTGGACGGGTTCTCTTTTTGTAAATACGCACACAGCGTGGTGTGTGCTATAATGCAGGGCACTGAGAAGATGACACAGAGAGACACCTAAAGGCCCCCACAAAATATCACTTTAGAAATATCCTGGTATAACACCAAACTGTGAGGCACTTTCAAATGGTTGACTGAGTAATGCAACACAGACTCCAATTAAATCCTACGCTGTTAAGTGCTTATGATCGAGGTGCTTAGGCATATCTTTAACGGCAGAAATGGCGTTCTTGCCTCCATCATTCTCAGACTTCTCATCTATGCATATCAAATTAATAACAAACATTGATAAAAAACCTTATCCCTCTATCACTTCCAACTTTAAAGCCTAACCATATTCCAGTACATCACAGAGCAACTGATAAACACATCAGAAGTATCTGGTTCAGTGTCTGACCTGACAGTAATTGGGGCATCACCACTCCTGTTCGTGTAATTTACTATAGCATTGAAGGACTGGTTAATCCACTGCCAGAAAACCACTGCTGGTGTTGTTCTTGAAAAGAGAAAAAAATTATTATTATTATTAAAAATACAGTTGAATCAACAGCACAGAAAAACGACATCAAATCAAGAAAAGCAAGTGCAAGCAATAATCATACAGAGGTTCTCGTTTATCTGAATGACACAAGACAGCCAATGAGACGCTGTCTTAATAATGAAAGTACAAGCTACTTCTAAGAATAGAACTCAAGGTTCACTTGGGACAAAGGTTTGTTGTCATAACAAAAGCATTATAGCAAGCCTTTCTATAAAAAACACACAGAAATATGAAATTATCTAATTTCTAGAACGCTTTTCAAGGGTTATTTTTCCTTTACAGTCTGCTAGTTCTCTTAGGAAGCTCTGCCAGTGACTGAGAGGTGGATTTTAGGATACAGGGCTTATCTTCTCAATCTTCAAAAAGCTAATATGATGCCATTGTTTTAACAAATCCCTGTGACATTAAAACATTCAGTCACATGTATCTTTTTATCAGGTTCTACAACTCCAAAATGAAAAATTATTTTAATGAAAATGTCTGCACGTTTAAGAAGCACAGGGTACAGCACAGAAATTAACCTGGTTCAGTACAGCACGAACCAGATGACAAGTCATAAAAAAAAAGGGCTCCAAGGAATCCTTATAAATTATGTCAGTGTCAGTATGCAGATACCTTAGGATAAAAAGGTGCTAACTTGTGAGCACAGGTGGGGGCAGTGAAAAAAATATATTCTGTACAAGTCACAGAGTCACCATTTAACAAGCTAATGTGGTCACAGTTAAATTGCAGATATAATAATTTTACAAATTGTTACGCTGATGCATAACAAAAATGACACTCAATTTGTTTTACAATGTATGGGGCTGTCTGGTGGAGGAGTGAATGCTTTTGCTCTCAAACCAGTAGTATGCTTAAGTGACAGGACAAACTTATGAAAACGAAATCCACTATGGATCTTTGGATATGAAGCTCCTGATCCACAAATAGCTGGAGGCTAGGAGAGTGTACCAGGGGAAAAGTGTTTCTTTGCGTACTCAGACCATGGCCCCAGTGGAGGAACCACTGAAGATCCTGCTCCTCCATAATTTCAGTCAGGCCACCAAAAGTAACAGTTGCTACTAAAAACTATTTCCTGACCATTAAAATAACTTTTCATAGCATTTTAGAGCTTATACTTAATTAAATTATTTAATAACACAGGCAGTAATGCCAACAGGAATGTGGTTCTTATTGGAGGGCTGATACGGAAATTAAGAGTGCTAAAGAAAAAGTAGTAGCTGTACCAATTATTCTGTAACAGGTGGGAAAGCAAAGACGAGATGCTAGAGTAGAAGGTGTGTGTCTGTCATGAAACTTTGGTTCTGAAACAGGAAGATGTAGTTTCTTTAAATTGCAAAGAACAGGAAAGATTCAGGACATTTCAAAATGTATTCTTATTCCCTCTAGTTTCCAGTATCTGAATGAGATGCCAAAATAACAGTGATAAACTAGCTGGGTTTTTTTCCGTCACTACTGCTGTTCTTCCTCCTTTCCTCCTGTGCATGTGCAACTCTCTCTCCTGACTCATCTTTTCCTATTTCCTTGCCACTGCTATGTAGAGGATGTTAGGCTTGCTATAAAGTTCAGGCATGACTCATGTTGCCTTACCGCACGCCCAAGAGCCCTCACAGATGGAACAAGGCATTTGCTTCTCCCAGTGGCGTGCAGTAAGATGGATGCTATGCTGCATCACCCAAGGACTTCTACACAATCCTGTTTGCATGCTGAGGGTTTGGTCTAAAGAAATCAGTGTCTTCCAGGCTAATAAACTGCCTAGTTTTGAATCTAAGTGACTCTACCCATAATGCGACAGAAGGTTTATAGCTGCTTTAAGTATTATAGATAATAACAGAACATGCATAAAAGAATAAACAGTTAACAGGAAGCAGTGTTTGTGAATGGTCAGCTGTACTGATGGTTTTATTTGTATTCTCAACTGTTTTTTTTAAACACATATGTATATATGCACCACTCAGAATAGCTGTGCCTTGCTGGAGTGTGACTCTAGAATCTGTAAAACCTCAGCATCAAAAAGTCTATTGTTATTTCCTCTGAACCTCCCATCAGTTCTTGCTAACAAAGTATTGCACCACAAAATTATTTCTAATATGGAGTCTACTAACAGACGATACTGGCTTCTGCTGTGAACTTCACTGTATTGGTGATTCAAGAACTACTGAGGAAGCCGAAGGATCAAACAGGAGCTGGAGAAACTTCATGACTAATGGACCGAAGCATATCGAGTACTCACTTGGCAGACAGATCATCCTACATGCCAGATCTCTAAAGTTAGAAATTTCCAGGTATCTGCTCCTCTTTGTCCTCCACACAACTCTCCTACAAGGATGGGATTTTGGAACATTCAACTTTCCTAGTTTGAGGAAAAGTGGGATGGTGAAGGAGAGGGGCTAAGGGCTTATCTCACAACTATTTCTAGAGGAAACCATTAATCAGTGTGAGGGAATGCAGAGAGAGAAGAGAAAAGGAAGCAGAATTTTACATTTTCAGATACTCATCATACATCTTCTAAAATGCTCTTTTGACAATAACATTGAGTTTCATTTATCTAATTCATAGGCAAATGTTTTAGGTGTTACATTGCCATCACTTACCTATAGAAGGTCATCATACAACCTGTGATAGTCATGTTCATGGGTACCTGAGCTGACATTCGGCCAATCAAGACCATCTTTTCACCAGTGTCTGGGTGAAAGGCTGAATCATAGATATATTTTGCTCTCCACAAGTCATCTTCTGTCAAGCCAGGTGCCACAATACCTTGTCTTGGGACAAGTTAAAAAACAAAACAAGACAACAGCAAAAAGCACAACTGTTATAAAATGCTGCAACCTCCAGTGACAAATGTGGCATCAGAGGATTTTGGGGTGTTCACACTGAGTTAATCTAGCCTCATAGTTAGCTTGTAGATCTTCAGCTTTTAAATAAGACTGGTGAAATAAAAAGAATCAAAACTCCCATTGGTGGTTATGTTGGCTGAATTGATATATCTAGCACGAAATTTCTATTTATTTAAACCTGTACTAAATTTTAGAGCTAAAACACAGAGCTAAAATCTCTGGAGTCATTAGTGTGAAACTTTGAAAATTTACTTTGAAAAATTACTTTGCAAGAATTTAAGAAACTACTTGCTTCAAACAATATAACACAAAGAGGAAGTTTTAAACTCTGTTGTCATATTAACTGTTTTCAGAATTAGACACTTCTGTGTTTCATAATACTTAACAGGGTTCTCAGATGACATAATTTGCCCTTTCATTAGCAAACTTGTTTAAAAAAGTTTTTCAAGCTCTGACATAAGAAGAAAGAGTGGGGCAATGAATACAGTGTTTTAAATATTTCCTTTTAAATATATAACCATGTGCTTATCATTGACATGGACTTTTTTGGGCCAGCAGTAAAAGCAATCAATGCCATACCTGTAATCATGCACAATTTTTCTTGCATTTTCCAGTTGGGCATCAGATAACAAAATATTCCGGGGGTCTGTTACAGTAAAGAAGTGACTGGCTCGTCCAACAAAAGTGCTTTGATCCCATCGGGGCTCCTTGATATTAATATTTAATGGTATATCTGCTGACATCTTCAAAAACTCTGTGAAGAAAAGATAAAAATTTGCAATTCAGAATTCCACTTATTTGATAATGTATCTATAACCTTCAAGATGAAAAGTGGTTATGCTTAGAGTGAAAAAAACCAGAGAACAAGCACCAAACAACTTGCAGAACTGAGGTCTGAAAGGGCAAACATATATCCAGACAGCAGATGATGTCAGAGAAAATCATGCGTTTTAATGAAGTTGGTATTGATAGAAGTAAAAAAGCAAGAACTTAGTTAAATGTCTACAGAAATGTTTCTGTGCCTGTTTCTCCAAGACATTTATACATTACATCTTTGTAAGAGCATGAGTATCTGGTTATGAGGCAGAGGTACATCATATACATGTACAAATACCTGAGGATGAAGGAGATGCAAAGTAAAGTAGAATGTATTAATAAATAGCTGTACTAAATAACAATACACTAATCAGAAGTGTGTTTTATTTCAATAATGAGTTAGTTTGCTGAAAATATTGTCTTGAAGGGAAGGAGAGATTAAGTATTTCGAGAGATGCCTGAAGAGCTGCTATAAAGTGCAGTGACAGAAGAAACACTTAATAAAATCCAGTTAATTTCTCTGGCATAGCAAAACAAAACAAAAATTGGGAACACAAATCCAACAATTTCTTTTAATAAATGTTGTTTCTCTAAATCCATGTTTTAACAAAACAAAGATTACATAATGCAACAATTTGCCACATTATGAACACATTAGCAGATCTCCTAATGATACTTCAAAGATGGTTAAAGAACTACAGTGAAGGGCACTGAACTAACATAGTTGTGCATTTATGGGGCTTAAAGCCCAGAAAATTAAAAATTACTTCAGGATGACTAAGTTTACTTCAACATCTAATGAAAGAAGGACAGTTCCTGCATAGCACAAGCTATATGAACTTTAACTTTCTTAAGAGAAATTTCTACAATATATTCAATAGCCAGTTAAAAAAAAGCCATCCTCCAAATAATGCTCGTAATTCAAATTGTTGAAGTAAATTTGATCTATAGATGATATCACATGGTATTTTATCTGTTTTAATAGGAAAAACATCTCTATGAGGACAACTGATAGACATGGTGTAAGCTGCCACTGAAAAGTATTTTCCATCTTAACTCAAGAACACCATGAAGTTGTCCGAGACATTTTGGTCAATTTGATGAAACTTCTATGAAGTAGAACGGGGCGGGGGCGGGGGGT